TTTTTTGCCACTATATGTAAAAATATTTACAGTCAACTTTTGTTGATTAAAAGTATTCATTTCTTAAAAAGTCTTACTGATCCCAAACTGTAGTGTATATTGTATTCTTTATTTATTATATTTAACCTTTTTAAGCTATCTGAAATTCATACATTACCATAAACATAATAAACATCTTTAAATGTTTATTTTCTCAAAGTATTTGTGCACAGTCTGTAATATAGCTCAAATAGTTTTAGAAATAAAAATAAAAAACATGGATAATACCCCTGATGGCTTAATAACTGTAAATTTCCATTGTCTGGTATCAGAAAACATTAACAAGACAGAGGGCACTGGGGGGCTTAATTGCTTACACCGTTTTTGTGGAACAGGTGTTCACAGAAATGCAATTTATTTGAGCATTTAATATCTTTAAATATTGTTTTCACATGTCTGTTCTATAATTGCATTTGTTCCATTAATGAGAGAGAGAAAAAAAGTGTTACAGGTATTTGTTTCATTACAAAAGTGGCAGGTCTTTCTTGCATTAGATAATTGAAGCCATTTTACCTTTTATGCTTTTTCACTCTGAAGTATCTCATTTGCAATTTACAGTGTACGTAATTGGATAAATGCATGCTGTGTAATTACAAACTGGCACCATTTTTTACTCTGTTGTAAATATTCATGTTTCATCATGGTATTTTTGAACATTGTTCATATTTGTAAATGATCTGTGGATGAGTTTGTAATGTTTGTAATATAATATTCAAGATATCAGTTTGACTTGAATTTTGTAAGATTTTTATAAAAAAATAAAATAAAACAGAGAGGGCATAAAAATAAAAACAAAATGCACTTTCATTAGTTTTTTCAATTAAAATCACATAAAGGATCAAGCTGAGACATCTAAGTAAATAGTTATTTTAAAACTAAGAATAAGGAAACTTGAATATTATATTTTAAAAGTAAAGACATGCCTGTCATACAACAATAAGAGTCTGGTGGACGCCACGTCTGCAGCTGTCTAGATTTGATCAAATTTATCAATTAATAACTGAAAAATGGTATTTCCAAAACAACACATAATCAAATCAAACTTCTCTTAATCAACAGCCAATTTTGTCAGCGTTAGCGGAGTGTGTTTTTGTCACTGGTCTGCTGAGATGAGCTTTCTGTCCCTACAGACTCATTAGAATATTGCACCTGCAGTTCAAGACATTTCATATGCAGTGAAGAAGACCATACTTGTTTGGCATCATCAAACACTTCCTCTGCCAGACAGGAAATGGGATTAGAAGTGAAGGTGGGATTCAGTCAAAAAGGAAATATTCATTAACTTAAATCACCCCTTCCACAAATCCAACCCCCAATACCATACACACTCCTTGTCCTCGACACGTTCAGTAGCTGAACGCACACTTGTTAACGAGAGATGGGAAAGACGGATATAATTGGATGTCACTGTTTCCACACAGTTCACAAGTTATTTGTAATGTGCAAGTGGATTAAACAGCAAAAAGAAAATGAAACAAAAGTTAAGCAAAGCCATTCAGTGCATTTTGAGGCCCTAAGACTAGCTCGTGTGCTGGAATGCACTATGTCTTGTTCATATTAAGGATCTTATTGAGTCACACCGCACGCAACCTTATGAAATGGAGCCTTGTGCAAGCAAACAGGAAAGTAATAGTATGATCTTACGATGGTATGTAGACTTTCAATTCAGCAATACATGATACCTCAAGTGGAATCATGCAATCACTCAAAGTAAAAAAAGGTTTAAAATATCAATTAAATAATCCTTAAACCATCATCTTTAGGTTTACGGTTGAAGCTCTAGTGTTGTTTGTATTTTGAAGGAAAATTACGTACCGTTGCAAACTGAAGGATTAAACACCGCGTCGAAAAATCATAATAGTCAATCTAGTTTTGAAGAACTTTAACTCACCGAAACGGATTTAAAAATTGTGAGAACTTATACATTAATTGATAAGACCAGACTGCAGTCTTCAGCAATACTATAGCACAACATTTCATTTGTTGGAGTGCAAATGTGCGTTCTGATCGACAAGGCGCATAATTATATCCAAGTTATTAT